TTTCAGCTTACGAGTTTTAATATCATAAGGGCACATTTATTTTAAAAACATTCTTTCTATTCTGAGCACAACCCAGGCATAAGGCACTTGAGTAGCTATGTTTTTGATGCTTCTCTTGAAGTAAAATGAATATTTCTTTTTCCTGAGAATTTTGGATATCATGAAAACATTGGCTAGCAAATGGTGACGGTTAGATATTTTTCACCTAGTTTCATGAGAAAAGTCAAGTTCAAAACTTTTTCCTAATAAGTGTCTTAATTTTATTATTAGATCCCGTTTCTTTCTCAGATGTCACTTTCCTCCCTCAATCCTTTGTCATTTTCTCTAGTCCTGTCTTTCACAAAGATGCATTTGTTTTTTAACATTCTCCTTGCTTATCACACGTTTCCCCCTGAGAGCAGAAGAATTAGCTAATATGAAAATATGAGTGCAGAGTACAGTGTGGAGGGGATACCGAAAGCGGATCTGGAAAAAATATTAAAAATTCAGCAGAACAGGAGGTAGTTGAATATACGAAGGAGAAAGGAAAGAAATATGTAGTAGTAGGCAGAGCGCACAGCAGGGTCATCTCCGTAGTGTTTATATCTGATACCTCCTGAGGCGAAATTAAAGCCCATTCTTACTTATTGGAAATCATAGTAGAAGTAGTTTGAGCATCAGGTCATTTTTAAGTCTTGGCTGTTAATTTCTACATTGTGCTGCTCTGAGTGGAACTGTACACTTGATTGGCAGTATGTGACCTTGAAGCAGTCATTTAACCTCCCTAAAGTGCTACTCCACTATTCCTTATAATTATGTATTTACAAAATGTATGAAGTAAATGTTTAGTTAGTCAATTAAAACTGAAGTGAGTAGCTTTTTAATCAGTAGGTTACTCGTAGCAGTCGAAAGTTAAATGAATGGTTAAGTAGTTTTGTAATGACTTTCGGGAAGACTAATGAAAGAGATGAAGCATATACTAAACTTTCTTTTGAGTTTAGCCTCAACAAGTCTGCAGGCAGGGAGTGGAAAAGCCCAACAAGTTTTGAATAAATTGGTTTCTGAAAATCTCTTATTTATAAAAGAAACTATCTATAAAGAGAACGAGATATGGCATTAAACATGGTATAAAAAATGCCAAATTGATTTTGTGGTTTTTTTACATAGAATAATGGATAAAATTAAAATTCTATGTGAAAAACATAATAAGATCATGAGAGATTATATCCCTGAGGACTTTTTCTACTTTTTACCCTTCAAGTCAGATGGGAAGAAGTAGATGAAATGTGTTATGAGGGCAGTAGCCACGACCTCTGTGTCTCAGCAACGAGTGGGCACTGTCAATACTTGTTGGTTCATTGATTCTCTAAAGGTACTTTCATTTAATGTTGTCCCTGCTCCAACAACACATGTTGCCAACAAACAAAATTTTGAAGTAAAAATTACCCTTAGTGTTCTGGATTTGCTTGTTTGATTTTCACTGGTCACTGTTCTTAAGATTATTCATCTGGCATGTATCCTCTGTGGTGGTGGGTGAGAGATTCCAGGAATACTGCGCCCTGCCTTCAAAAAATAGTAGTGAAATAAAATATTTTTTACTTCCTTATGCCTTTAGATTTATCTTCAGATTATAATTCATTATTGTCAGATTTTGGTGCTGTGGGCTTACATTGCTAAGATTCTATAACAATAAATTTAAAGGATACCTCTGTAAAAATGTAATTATAATTTTCTCTAACGTTCTAATTATTAACTATCTTAAAGCTACTTTTACTATAACCCTTTTTTTTTTTTTAATGACTTTCTATCACCATTGAGAGTAGTATTTGTATGCTATAGCTCTCCATTTTTGCATTCGGCTTAGTCTTTGTCAGCCAAGCCAGGGTTTAGGTTCCTTAACAAGCAAACANGCTATAGCTCTCCACTTTTGCATTCGGCTTAGTCTTTGTCAGCCAAGCCAGGGTTTAGGTTCCTTAACAAGCAAACAAAATGCAGATCCCCAATGTTGATAGAATATGTGAAGTGATGAGGAAACATTCTTTAGGGTTTTTCAAAAAGTATTTTCCCATTTTTAAACCTACTTTTTAATTCCATCTGATTAATAAGAAAAAGAGCCCTGCTATTATTACCACAGATCCCACGATTTAGGTCTTAGAACATTAGCTTTCATTGAGTTTTGTTTCGTTTCGTTTTGTTGTTTTTTTTTTAAATAAAAGGCGCCACCATTTGGCCTATGCGGTCAGAGTAGGCTAAATAGTGGACTAAAGTCAGGAACTAGCTCCAGGTGATCTCTCATGTTCCTTTCCAGCTCAGTAATTTCATTCACTGAAATACATTTATTTCATATCAGTCAAAATCCTAACTTTTCTAAATTTGGAAGAAAGAGCAATATGAAAAGGACATCTAATTTACAAGACTGTGGGTCAAAGACCTGTTGTTTGGTTACCTTTCCTGACTTCGCTTCGTCAGGGGTTTTTATGAAAATATAGCACTTTGTTCTGCATTACATCATAGACTTACTCTGTCTTTCGAAGGTACCTGTCCCTAGTGCCAGGTAGACTCATTATTCATACAAATCTAGGTTATATTTTTTCTAGGAAAATTAATTACTTTATACTGGCTGCATATGGTTAGCTTGTCAGCAGGAAAGCTTTAACATATTTTGGGTGGTATCGTATAGCCATTTATGCAGTCTTTTTTTCTCTTTGTGCACAGAGTAGTACACTAACATATGTTAAAATTAGTATGTTTAGTAATAATACCAAAGGTATACATGGGATACTGGAAAATTCCTCCTCATGTTTATTGCAAAGTGCTAATTACCTAAGTTCATAACCGTGAGTAAAGGCACAGACTAAAACAGATGCCATGGGCTCAGTATACACCTTGGCAAGGCCCTGCGTGTATGGACTCATGTGAGTGTTCTTTTCTACATCTTATTATCCTAAAGGATATAGTAAATGTCATGGAGTATTATTTGGAATTGCTCCAATATAATATGAATATTTACCATTTGCAATGTTTAAGTAAGGATAAAAATTTCAGGGAAGTAAGTCCATTTGGGAGCATTTTAAGACACTTGAAATGACTCTGTGAGAAGTAATCATCTCTCTCTCTTTTTTTTTTAATATATATTTAGTGATTTCAGAGAGAGGAAAGGAGAGGGAGAGAGAGAGATAGAAACATCAATGATGAGAGACTCATTGATTGGCTGCAGCCCGCAGCCCGGGCATGTGCCTTCACCGGGAATCGAACCCCGATCGTCTGGATCCTAGGTCGATGCTCAACCAACTGAGCCACGCCCGGCTAGGCAGAAGTAATCATCTCTTAAGTCTACTTTGTGTATTAGACGTTCAGTATCCAAATATTATTCTAAATGGCCCTCACTTTGTTTTTCTAAAATTTTATATAACTTAAATTTATTCTGTAAAATCATTATTAGTAGTGTTTCCTTTTACTTTAAAATTTGTCTTTTTTGAGCCTACTAGTTTTTTACTCTCTTCCAGGGGAAAAAATTATTTTCTTGAGACAGGAATTTGAAGGCATTCCTTGTAGTCAAGTCATTTTAAGACATTCCTTAAAGTACTTTGTAGAGGGGACTTCTTGTTAACTAACTGTATTAGTCAGGCTCTTAAAAATCTTGCCTTTATGCACATAAACATTTCACATGTCAAGTGCCTGGGAGAGTACTGATGTAAAATAGATATTTATATTATTTGCTAAGAAACTTTCCATCTGAAGACACATTCTCAGAGGTATCTACTGAGAACTGCCTCTTTATTGCTCGGTTCTTTTTAGGTGAGTGTGCTTGGTTATATTGTTATATCATTAAAGCAGTGTCTGCATTATCCTATTGGATCGAATAAGTTTAGGCTTTTGTATGGCATATTTTATTTTAAATAATCATTTATATTATTAGCAGATAGCTTTCTATCTTAACAGACATCCTGTACACCTCATGAGATAGTGTTTTTTTAGCCTTTCCCTTTGGGGGCCTGTAACTGGCTGCACTAGGCCCTATTTTAACCCTGTCATGTTCTCTCTTTTTTCTTTCCCCCCTGACCGGGCCTCAAACTGCTTTTGATGTTTATAATAGTTGTTGAAGTTCAAGGGTTATAGTATTACTGCCCCATCAGTCTCTTTTAAGTCTCAGATTCCTAATACATTTGGCCAAGGAATTCATATGTAGCTTAAGTGCCCTTTGTCTTCAGCCTTCAGGTGAGTGCGTCTTCCCCTAGCATGTGTTGTTAGAACATGGGGAGTAAGTTTAAGGCAAGAACTTGCTGACACTCTAGTCCTTTTGTGTGTGTGTGTGTGTGTGTGTGTGTTTGTGTGCGTGTTTTGACACTTTCACCCCTCTACATTCCCAACAGGGCAACCCTGAGTCCCAAACACCTGTGGCTTGGCACTGCTTCTGTCTCCTGCTACGCTCATGTTCCTTCACCCTAACTCTGCTAATTTAGTATGTGTCAGGAGTCATTCCCCTTTCCTGTGTTGCTGGAGAAAGTCAATTTAGTACAAATTGGGACCTATTTACTCTCCCTCTATCTAGCATGTATTGTTAGTCAGCAGTGCTTCTGAGGACAGCAATTGCTATTTGAAGAAAACAAACCCTCTTTTACACCTTTCTGAATATGTTTTAAATATGACCCAGCATGTTTTGGTTTTGAACAAAAAAATGAATGTTTTATAATTCGTTGCCCCTCTATATTCTTTTGAAAATTTAGTTGTAAAAATATATGTACTTAATACTTAAACTTTATCATTTAATTAAAGCTTTCTTTTCATTGAGCATCTCAATAGTTACTTTTTTTAAATTTGTTTTTTCATTTTTGAGGGACGACTCTGGATTCCTCAGAAAAACAAGCAGGGCTTGTCTCTCTTCGTGCTATCAGTTTTAGGGGATATATTGCTTCTTGGGTACTGTCATACCAATAAATCATCCCAGATCACTTGCAGTCTTACACTACTAAAGTATACCGTGCATTTTAAAGGAAATCTGCTATTTTCTTTTCAATCAGATGAGCAATGTGAAGAGACTACGGCCGCGGCTCAGTGCTATTCTCTTTAAGCTTCAGTTTGAAGAGCAGGTGAATAACATCAGACCTGACATCATGGCTGTCAGCACTGCCTGCGAAGACATAAAGAAGAGCAAAAGCTTCAGCAAGTTGCTGGAACTTGTATTGCTAATGGGAAACTACATGAATGCCGGCTCCCGGAATGCTCAGACCTTTGGATTTAACCTTAGCTCTCTCTGTAAAGTGAGTTTGGTTGTTTTTTTTAAAAACACATATTTGCCTGCACACTTACTCGTAGAATGTCAGCCCTTATTACATTATTTAAATATTTTTGTTTTGATGTGCTCATTATCAAGAACTTGAACTGAATGAACCATGAACCTAAACCCAGAGTGAACTAAGCTAATTTACTCAACCTCTGAACTAAATCCAAATATTAATTTTCTGTATTCTGCAAATCCACCTGAAGGATTTTGTTTAATAACAAAATTATGTTGTAAACCTATGCTTCCTCAAACTAATGAAATGGAACATCAGAATATTATTTAAACCTAGTAGTCATTCAGTTCAGATACCTGCATATATGATGGTATATATATTGAGACTTGCTTAGGATTACCACTAAAATTTTTACCTTTAACTATTTAAACATTTCTTTGCATTTATTTTTTGCAAGCAGACTAAAGGGAGAGAAAAGTGAGATTGCTTTATATAAAGGGGAAATTATTACTCTCCAAAGGAGAATAAATGTAACTCAGAGTTTGAAATGTTTCTATCTAAGTTAATTTTAGAGGATATGAAAATTGAGTAAGTTTAGAGGTATTTTTTCATCTGGGTTCAATGTTTTATGTAACAGAGCTCTTTCCTAAATAGTGGGCCACAGTAATAGTGTGTTATTGATCTGCTTATAACAAATTCTTCTCAGTTACACATCACAAGGAAAGCTTTCTATTGTTCTTGACCTGCTAACATTTAGCCTCCCTGACTAAGGAATTTGATTATTGCTGTTGCCAGTTAGGAAGGGAAGGTGAGAAACAAGTTCAGCTTTAGCTGTGGGTTTGCTGAATAGTTAATCTCTTGGTACTTTCATGACTTTTCTTACCTGAGTTCCCCGACCTAAACCTCCCATTGGTATCAGTGCCTTGTGAGCTTTTCCCCTCTTCCGCCTCCATCTTTTTATTTCCTTCTCCTTGTTTTCTTAGCCTTCTATATTCTGTTAAGATCTGTTACATGGATGAGGTGATTCATAACACAGGTATTGAAGACTTTGCACATATATAGCATACTTACTACTCTTGCGCCAAGTGCTTGACCTGATCATCTCATTAGTGTATGTGATTAATATTTACCTAGATGCATGGAACTTATATTTTTCACATTTTAAACCATTAATTATGGTTAAATGTTTTAATGGAGCTTATATACAAAATGTTACAGCAGCAGAGTTAGGGGAGAGAGAGAGAGCCTTGCTGTGCTGAGGGCGGGCAGGTAAGTATTCAGAGAGGAATAGGGATTTGAGCTGGATCTGGAAGAGTGAGCAGATGTTCCCTGAGAGGAAAAGGCATTCTACGCAGGAATCAACAGTTTGTATAAAAGCTTATATTATGGCATGTGTGAGTACACCGAGTGATCCAATGCAGTTGGAGCCTAAATGGGGGAGGAGTGGAGAAAATGGAAATGAGATAGCAAATTGGCCTAGATCGTGAAAAGCCTGAAATGCCATACCTTATGGTGAAGGTTTTATGGAGACATGTTATTTCTGTAAGGCAAGTGATGTTATCAGATATCTTGTAGGAAGATAATTCTAGTAGCAGTATGGAAAAAACTAAGCTACACACTGTCCAGTACTATCACTGTTAGCCAAATGTGTCTATTTAAATTAATTAAAATGTAAAGTTAAAAATTAATTCCTCAGTCACACTTGCCTTGTTTCAAGTGAATCAATCTCCATACATGCTGGCAGCATAAGCCTAGCACCTTTCTGTCGCTGCAGTAAGCTCTGGACAGCACTGTTTTGGGGTTACAGTGGTAAGACTAGGTCACTGACTGAGCACCTGCTCTAGGAGAGTGACGGAGGACATGTAGCTGAGCAGATAGACCGTGAGGGCAATCTGAGATGAAGCAAGAAAGGGAAGGGGACTCACAAGTTTTAAGTGGTTGCTCAAAAAAGAATGAGTTCAGGTTATTTTGGTGTTTCCTTCCCCTTGTTTACCTCAGTGTCTTAAAGGGCATTCAACTGATGTGTCTTATTCAATTATGCACAAATATTTGAGTGTGCACTACATAATAGTCATTGTGCTTTGAGATGATGGTGGTCTGAGCTAAAGTCATAGCAGAGAGGTTTGAGGTAGGATGGGAAGTGTACACATTTAAGGAACATCTAAGGAATTGCCAGGGGGTGTGATTATGAACTTGGGGGCTGAAGGAGAAAGAGGGAAGCTAGATTTCCAGGTTCAGGGGAAGCAAAGGAAGGAAAAACAGGATGCAGAGCAAGGTGGGGAGAAGTTAGCTTTACACCTACAAATTTCCTGGAGTTTGTTTCATTGTACTAAATGTCTGTTTCTCTTTAGAGTTTGTATCTCAAAACTACAGCCAACTCACAAACAGTTGACCACACGCCCTCCCTCATGCCTTCGTTAAAAGAGAGTTGTTGAGGGGGATCAGGTCTGATTAATGAGGTAGAATAGCTTAATGCAGTGCTTGGCACGTAGTAAATATTCAATAAATAGCTGTTGAATGAATGACACAATAGGCACAATGTTGTGTCTTAGTTATTATGTAGTTGAAAATCGACATCCTCTCATATTGAGATACAGTCGTTGATGCATAGAAATTTTAAAATCTTTTACAAATGCAATGCATGCTGTTACTATTTTACTATAGTCAATGTGCAAACTGGCTAATATGTCTCCAGATAATAGAGTTGACTGTATTTTCAGGCAATGAGACTAGATATTTTAACCATCCCTCTTACGAGACTTCTGTTGTGCAAGAAACAAAATAAATACTAGAACTTCCTATTTTGTATTAGCCTACAGGTCAAGTTGAAAGCATATATTGAACAAGATGATACCTCATTATGTTTTTTTTCATCAGAAGCAGCAGCTTGATCTTTGACAATTGTGATTGAATTTTCACACTGAGTATTAAGGATTTGGTTTGATCATAAGCCCCCACACAAGGAATTCCAAATTTACTTGAAAGTATAAAGACAGGATTATATTTTAACCTGTTAAAACATGCTGAATAATCCTGTGACATTTAATATTCTATATCCAAAATTTTTACTTGTAAATGTCCTTTGTACATTTAGCTCAAGTATGAAGCATACATAAAAATTCATATTCATTTATTAACTTTGGACAGTTTAGAATAGTTACAGAATTTTGAATTCCATATGCATTGTATTTTAATTTTAGGAGGTATATTATATCTTACTATACATGTGTAATTGAGATGGCTAACTAAAATAGCTCCAGAGTTCAGAGAGAAAGGATTTGTCTGTTTTCCTACCAAAGATTTGATATGGCTATGATAAATAAATATAAAAGTGAAATATGAGATATAAGGTAAACATAAGCTAGAATCTATTATTAAGATGGAAATAAAAATTAAACTAGATGCTTTCGGATGGTAAAAATGAAGTGCAGACATGGTGATGAAACTTTTCATGAGCTAAAAATAGTGGTTTTTCTGATTAGCCAAAGCCGGACTTGATAAGAAATATGGCATGTCTGTTGCTATAAAGGAAAAACGTGGTGTGGAGCTGTGTTTTTAGAAATAATAAGTGAAAAAAATCTATTACAACTATCTCCCTACTCTCTCGCCCCCTTAGGTCATCTCCTACAAATATGTATTCAGGGCCTCTTAGGGCTTGATACTCCAAGAGCACCCCCATAGTAAATAAGGTACAAATGTCGTCTGTAGTTACAGTAATGCTACTTTGAGTTTAAGTAAAGTGGATTAAGTACCTTGCTTTCTGATGGCACAGCTTTTCAAATGGACTAAACCTTAGACTTGTAGTTTAGGACAGTGGGTGGACTACTTGTCTTTCATGATAGTCCTCCAAATATGTGACTAGACTTTAGATAAAAACTGGATTAAAGGTAGATGAGGTTATAGTCTTTTTCTCAGGAGCTTTATTGATTCAGTGACAATATATATCCTTAGAAATTTCATTAACAGATGGTAGGTGGTTGCTTAACCAAAGTGCCTACCTAGAAAAAATTTGTATGGGGTTAGAGTTGGAGTTTTTCTCTAAAAAACCTGTTGGTAGGGCCAAGATCTTTTTTTCCTAAGTAGGTCTAGCAAAGAATGAGTTGACCCAACCATCAGAGTTGAACACCATATTAAAATATATGAGATGACTTTAACTTGTGAATATAAAAAATGATGTTATCCGTCCACATGCAGTAACTAGTGTTACTAGTAAACATGTTTAGTAACGTTTACTTATGTCTAATGAGATATGTGATTTCTGAATAACATCATCTCAGTGACTACAGCAGAATGATGTAGCTATGAAAGCAGCTCTTTGTTCTAAGTAATTATACCGACTTCCTATATTAGAATAGTAGACATAAATTTTGGAAGAGTTTACCCACTGTAATTTTTATTTTACAAATAAAAATTCAGTATTTGTGCTGTTACTTTGGGGGAAATTGCAGAAACAAATAACCATTGATTCTGCTATAAATTTATTCACAGTATCACTTTGCAGGGAACATTCTGTTCTCTGTGGCAGTAGAAATGTGAGTTCATCTTGAGAAGTCCTCACAAGGATGCACAGTGATGGGGCGGTGGGGGTAGGTGTTAAAGGTGAGGGGTTGGCATGCAAGATTGATTTTTGTCCAAGTTCTCTTTTCTAGTGTGCAAACATTTTACCTGGTGTTCTATGTATTCCCTTTATAATAAGCACAGTTCAAAACTGAGTAACTTCACCAAAGTTGTGATGGGGATTATTTTTTACAAAAAAAGTTGAACTTTCCTTTTCTTTTTTTCTTTTTCTTTAATGGCTCCATCAACTCTCATTAGTGATCTCTTGAAATTGTGAACAGCTCTTCTTGGAGGACACTGATTCTTAACCTGGAGTACCCTTTAAAAAAATTCTCACATGTCAGCCCCACATTAGGTTACTTTAGCATGTATGGATGTGGATCCTGATTAGTGGCTTTTTTTTTTTAAAAAAAAAAAAAATACCCAGGTGATTTTAGTGCACAGATTGAACTGAGAATCACTTTATC